GGGGAAGGCGACTGGTCCTGCACACAGCCCGTGAGGTGGAAACCAACATGGCGGCCCTTCCGGTGCAACCGGGCAGTGGGTGTCCTTTGACCCCGGAAGTAGGTGAGCCTGGTTTCCGTCCTTCCTCAAGATGGCGGAAGCGGTGGCTACGGTGACCGAGAACGGAGATGCGGCGGCCGGATCGCGACTGCCGCAGTTACTGGAGATCGGCCGCCGGCTCCTAGGTGAGGTGGAGGACACCACTGAGTCGACGAACTCTAGGTTCATCCAAGAGAAGGTGAAACGGGGCTTGGAGAGCCTGGAGAAAGCTTCGCGCATGATGGCGCAGCTTGACCTGTTCAGGTGGGAGAGGGCGAGTGGGGCGGGGCAGCCCCATGGCCGGGCTGGGGTGGGCGGCCAGGGGAGGGGGCCCGGGCGGAGGCCGTGGCGCCCCCTAGCCCCGCTGTCTGTCATGGCCGGTCGGCGCCAGGACTTGGAGGTCCGCGGCACCCGCGGCGTATGTGGCAGCCGGGCTTGGGCTCAGCCTCGTCTCCGCCTCCCTTCCAGCCTCAACGAGGAGCTGGAAGAGATCTCTTCCGCTGACTTAAAGTATCTGATGGTGCCCGCTCTCCAGGGAGCCCTTACTTTGAAGCAGGTCAGCGTCAGCCACCGGCTGGAGCAAATACAGGCTGCCCGGGCCCACTACATGGACTTTTTAAAGCGGTGTCAGAGCTACCAGGTCACGAAGTTTGAGCTTCCCCCAAGCCTGGACAGCCCCCCTGGAAAGAAGTCGGTGGATGCGCCCGTGGGAAGCCGGCAGAGCCTCGTTGCCATGGCATCTCGTCGACAAGCCAAGATCGAAAGGTGAGTCAGTGGCCGGGGCTCGCCAGAGTTCTGGGAGGCGCTGTGTGTTTTGGAGAAAACCCAGAAAAGGTGCTTGCTTTTAAGGGGCTTCCCCCTTACCGAGCATGAGGAAAGCAGAGATCCCTGAGACTTGCCAGGAGCCTCTGCTGCCTTTGTTGAGATGACTCCCCTCACCCCCATCACGGAAACTGACATCTGGGGAAAAGAACACTGGCTACTTTGTTTGATGGTCTCCGCTTTCTTCCCACCTCGGTTGTGCATTGTGTGTCGTAGCTATAGGCTGTTAGAGCGGAAAGGGATCTTGGTAACCAGCTAGTCCAATCCCCTCGCTTTGTCCATGTGTAGACTGATGACTAGAGAAGAGAGGAGACTTGCCCAAGGATATCAATTAGCAGGTCTGCTGCAGATTTGAACCTAGAACCTCTAGTTCCAAAACTAGCACTCATTCTGTGAGGCCTTGAGCAAATCACTCTGACTTGATTTTCCCACTGACACATGAGGATGTTATTGAATTCAGTGGGGGGAAAAAAAAAAAAAAGAAAGAAATACGAGACTTTCTGAATCCTTGGGGATAGTCGTGTATCTTGGAGACGGGATTCTTCAGATGTGGGTTAGAGTAAATAGCCCCTCGGGTCCCTTCCCATTCTTAAGATCTAAGAATTTTTCATCAGTCTACATGAGGGTCCTCTAGCTTCCTCAGAAGTCTCCCTCCCAGAAAGAAACTTTGAAGGCTGAGAAGCAACCTATACTGACTTCAGGTGGCTGTTTCTCTTCTCTGCCAGAAGGAACAAGACCTGTTGGGATGTACTTTAAGTGCCAGGTGGGACTGAGGGCCTCTTGGAGCTGGAACCCATAGGGTACCCAGTGAGACTTCAGAAAGAATCCTGGAGGTTGGGTTTGGCTGATGTGGAACCATGTCTGTATTAGGTGCCATAACTGTAGGTCTTAAAGGGCCTCCCAGTGTGGCTTCCTGCAAAGCCCTCTCTTGATGATATTAGATCCCAGAATCGGAGTTGAAAAATCCAAACTTTGGTCAAATAGTTCATCTATTCCAAAGCATTCCTGAGCAGGAATTTCCTCTGAAGCATCCTTGAGATGTGATCATATATCCAGCCTCTGGTTAAATATCTAGCAGCATCAGGTGTGGGCCACCTCCACTCAGGCCCAGGTGTACTCTTTAAGCCAGAATGATGGCTGCACCTAAAGGAGAGCTCACCCGTGATGGGCTTCTCTACCACTTGCAGTTTTACAGCTTTCCTGACAAAGTTTGTTGTGGTGCTCTGTCCATGTCTCGAAAGCCTGATATATCCCAGAACTTTTGGCACCCATAACTGTACTACCACGTTGCCTAATGTCTCAGGCATGTGACGCATGTGCTTCGACCAAGGAATAATGGGTCAGGCTAGCAACTTTGCTAGAACCCATTCCAGCTACCCTCCTTTCCTGTGTGGTGATAATTAGAGATTTTATCAAAAATTTGCCCCCATCATACTTGCAAGAATCTCTCTTGGTGGTAATAGACAATTTAACAAAGATGGCTCCCTTGTTGCCCTTTGTTGGACTCCCACCCACTTATTTCTTAGGAGGCTTTCTGCTTCATGGTCTTCCCTTGCATGGTACCTCAATTCGGTCTCGTATTACCCCAGTTGGTCTCATGTTTCTAAACTGCTCTTCTCCATCTATACTGTTTCTCTTGGTAATCTCATCAGCTTCTATGGATTCAAAGAACCAGGACTATTTAGCCTGGAAAAAGATGATGAGGCAATTTGATTACTGACTTGAGGTATTCAAAAGGTGATCGTTTGGCTCAAGGGCCACCTTCTTTAAGAGGTTTTCCCAGTCTGTCCCAGTGTGGTTAGCTCCACCTCTCTCTCTTCCCCACACAGGTATTTACTTATTTACTCCCAGGTAAACATAGTATCATACTATGATATGAGAACATAGTATCTTCCCACAACAGAATGTAAGCTCCTTAAGGTCAGAGTCCAGCTTACTTTGGGGTATGCGTCTCTAGCATCTCGCACAGTGCTTGGCACATAGCAGATGCTAATACATGCTTCCCAATATTCAACTGGAATATTTGTCCTGAACTCTTCAAAAGGACAGCAGCGGAGCCAATGGAAAGGTAGATTTCAGGTTGTATCTAAGTGGTGCCACAGGGGATAGAGCACTGGGCCTGGAGTCAGTAAGACCTGAGTTCAAATCCAGTGTCAGATATTTACTAGGCAATACTGGGCAAGTCATTTAATTTCTGTCTGCCTCCGTTTCCTCAGCTGTAAAATGGCAATAATAATACCACTTACCTCTGAGGGTTGTGGTGAGGATCAAATAAGGTCATCCATGTGAAGTGCTTTGCAAACTTTAAATGTAAATGCCATATGTTACATGACATGTGTAATGATATGTACGTGATGCACATAGATGTGACATAAGGAAGAACTTGGTAACAATTCCAGCTGTTCAGCAGCACACGGTCCTGCCTAGCGCCTGGCATCTGGGCGCTTAGCCATTTATTGGCTGACTGGTCAGCTTCCGATCACTGAAAGTATTTTAAGAGAGTGAATCTCTGTCAGGGATGTTGTCAGGGGTAGTCCAGTGCCACTTGTTAGGGGGGAAGGCTAAACTAGGTCGACTCCAAAGTCCCAAGCAGTTATTAAAATTCCGTGGGAAATAATGTTGCTTAACTTCCTCATGGAAGCCCAAGGGGGCATTCTGTGTCTTGGAGGAAAACTGAATTATGTTGACCATAGATTGATGTAATAATATAAGGATAACTTGTGAGAACAGATTCTTTGTCTCTTCTCCTAGCTTCAGTTCTTAGCCCTTTTTAGTAATCCTTCCTTCCTGGAGGCTCAAGGGAACTCTGGGGGAGAAATTACATTGAGTATTTCTATTCTACTTGACCTTGGCATGATAATCGTACTTGGGAAAATGTCCGCGAGCTTACTGCAGCCATCTTTTGGGGGAGTGGGGCAAGCTTCCTTTTTGAGGTTCCCAAGTAAGCCTACTTAGGAGGTTTACTTTCTCTTCCAAAGGAAATGGGTGAGCTGGAATTGCTTCAGTCACTGAGTTTTCGAGGCTGACCTCCCCCTCCCCATACCAAAATCCATCTCCCGTTTAGTAGCAGACAAGGGACTCCCATTTTTTTGGCCTTTCTTTGTGTGCCCAACCCCTCGAACGAGGCCAGGCACATAGTGGGCACTTCATCAGTGTTTCTGGGATCGAATTCTGTGGGACAGATACAAGCAGAAGAAGGAGCTGGAGAACAAGTTGGCATCTCTGGAATCTGCCATGGAGAGTGGCCGAGCAGATGAGGAACAAGTCCGAGAGTATTACCTGCTTCACTTACAGAAGTGGATCAATATCAGCTTGGAGGAGATCGAGAGCATCGACCAAGAAATAGTGATCCTGAAAGCCCAAGACGCGGGAAAGCAGGTAGGAGTGGGGCTGCTCTGCGGCTACGTGTGCCGCGTGAGGACCTGTAGCCTCCACAGGGAATTCCTTAAATTAGATTTCAGTCTCCCCTTTCATAATCAAGCACCCATTGTCAGTATTGAGCTAGGTGGGTCCCACCTCCTTGAGAAGCCCAGGTCTTTCTTGCCTGTTACCTTAGTAATGAGCTTATGGGAAATCTAGGAATCTGCCTACCAGGTTCACTCAGTGGCGCCATCTAGCCTTCAGTCTGTGCCAGGCAGCAGGTATTTGGTTGAATTAAATTCCCCAACCATTTGCCAAGCACCTCTGGAATGCCTGCTCTGTCCAAGGTGCTGCTGTAGCTCCTGTCCTGGAGCAGTGTTTCCTAATGCTTCCTAGTACCTGACCTGTTTCTAGATGTGGTGTTTTTGTGGCACACAGTAGGGGAGGAAGATTCAGCAAAATCCTGCCTAGATAATGGAGAGGGAAGGGAGGGGATCAGAAGGAAAGAGAGGTGGTGGAGAGGAGACAAAGGGAAGAAAGAAAAGGCTGGGAGATCTGTTTGGTTTGCAGTCAACTGTGCTGCAGTTCATCCACGTACAACAGATGACAAAGCACCCTAAAACGGATGATGTGGAGACCCAGAATCATACGATCATAGACTTAGGGTTTTCCTTTGCCCTAAAGGATCAAGGTTTTATTGGTTTGGGGGGGGGGGGGGGGGACAGCTAGGTGGCGCAGTGGATAGAGCACTGGCCCTGAAGTCAGGAGGACCTGAGTTCAAATCTGGCCTCAGACGCTTGACACTTACTAGCTGTGTGACCCTGGGCAAGTCATTTAACCCCAATTGCCTTAAAAAAAAAAAAAAGATATATTGGTGGGAAAACCCTCACTGTTCAGTCATTTTCCTCTAATTTTTAAAAATTGAGGGCTACAGTATGAGTTGAACGTTGCTGAATTGACCAGTTGCCTTCAAAAATATTGAATTACTTTGAGGTTCCTCCCTGGCCCCCCATAGCTAGTAGCTCTTCTTCCTTTCCCAGTCTAGTTTGTGTTAGTTGCCCTGGGAGTTCTCTGCTCTGAGTGACTTCCTAGCTTCTGTTAGGATTCTTTGTTCAAAGATCAAGGAATTAACAGGCTATCTGAAAAGCCTCTCAAAAGGCCACCTAAAGCAGTGGGTCTTGAGGTTTGAAGGTCAAGGACCCATCTGTCTTTCTCTTGCCCCAGAGCCCTAGCCCCTGTGTGGTGCCTCTGACTTTCTCTGGAGTGCAGTGTGAGAATCACCCGAGGGTTCCTTGAGGCTGAAGCTCTTCCTTATAGGGAGTGTTACAACACTCGCCGAGCTTAGAGGGGCAAGGAAGGCCCAGACTTTAATAGCCATTTTATCAGCTGCATTTCTCCATGGAAGCCAGGGCTAAGAGGAGGGTCTTCAGTTCCAAAATAAGGAAGTAGGTTAGAAATGGATAAAAGCCTTGAAATCACCTTGTCCAAGTGGTAGTTTTTAAAAGCAGACTGACTGTTTGCTTGGGGTAGGGTGGTTGCAGTGAGAGCTTTCCATGCCTTCGCTCCTCATCTGTTGCTGCTGTTTCTGGGGGACAGAGACCAGGAAATGGTACTCAGTGATTTGACTGTAGCCTAGGGCATTCTGAGGTTCCCAGAATGCTGGGAGCCTTTATGGTACCAAGAACAGCTCACCTCCATCATCTTTTTTCCTTTTCAGGCCTCAAGTTCAAGGATGCCTCCACAGAGCAGACTTCCAACCAAACCTTTCATTCTCACCCGGGACACTGCCCAGGCCAAGTAAGTAGCACCTGGGACGGAGCTTGCTCTCCTGGGCTGTCTGCCATCACACCGATATGGCAGACACATGTTACAAACCTGATGATTTGTACAAACCATCATAGAAAGGTGACCTTCTCCCCTGTGGTCGTTGCCCTCTCCTCAGTCTGTTCCACTGACATTTCCCTCCTAAACCTAACACTTAAATAAGACTTAAGAAAGAAAAAGCAGTAAAGAAGTAAAAACTTCCTCCCCAGAGCATTCAGTAGGTGATCTGGTCATCTCCACACCCAGACTGGCTGCCTGCTTGTTGAGGACGTTTGCTTTGAGGTTGGCTTAGGTACCTTCTGAGGTTCCTCCCAACTCTCTTCACTGGCAGCCTTCCTCCTTCAGCTACAAATGGAAAGACCATCATTCCCTGAGGATTTCATTTGAGCCTTAAGATAGCGTTCCCTCACTTAAGGGTCCTAGGCCACAAGGCCAGTTGTGGAGCTTCCTCTGTTCCTGTCAGACCCAGTACCTGTACCTGACTAACCCACAGTAAAGCCTCATTTGGCCAGTTGTCAGCAACACCCTTTCTCTTGGGTTCTTAGGCCTACTTCATCTTCTAATGGAAGCCTGGCCGTGCTCTTAGTCACTGGAGCCCAGTTTGCTGATTCTGGGGGTGGCATAGTTTTTTAGAGCTGTCAGTGAGTGAGTTTGTCGCTGAAGGGAAGGGGCTGTTTTTGTTTAACTCTCTTTTGCTGATTTGCTTCCTGCAGGGTATTTGGCTCTGGCTATCCTAGCCTGGCAACCATGACAGTGAATGAGTGGTATGAGCAGCGCCAGAAATGGGATACGCTCAAGAATACAACAGGTACAAGTCAATCAGTAAGCAATTCTGAGGCGCTTAGCCTGTGTGTCAGGTACTCTGCTCAAGCAGTAAAGGAAAGGGAACTGGGAAGTGATCAGGGTGATATGAGTTGAACACAAACTGCCAGGCTCCTGCTTCCGTGTTCTTTAAATTGGTAGCCAACAGGAGAGGCAGTAATTTATGCTAGGACTTTAGAAGCAAAAAAAAAAAAAGATGACAAGAAGTCAAGATTCTCAGAGCTAGGGGCCTTCCCCTTATTTGGAGGATAGCAGAACCTTAGGAAGCAGAAGAGGCCGCGTAGGCAAGCTGTGGGCAGCCAGGAGAACATGGTTTCCCTTTTAGAGGGGTAAAGTAAACTGTAAACAGGTGAGCGGTTGGCTTTATTTCTCCTGGGCATTCGCCCTGTGCCAGGTGCTGTGGCTCGGCCTGGGGCCTTGCTCTATAGCAGCTGACTCAGTCGACGTGATCCACACATTCTCTGTTTGTTGAGCCCCGTGGATCCTAACACAAGTTGGTCCAGCCAATTAATGGGGTAGCCTGAGGGTGGGTTGAACACCCTGAGCTCATTAAAGGAGCCCCTCCAGTAGCTCTGCTGCCCACCTCTTCCCCTTACCTTCCTTCACAGGCTCTCTTAACCGGAGCTTTTTTTAGTTTTTTGTTTCCCTGGACTTTGGTCTGCGGCCTGGCATCTCTGGAGTAAGAGTAGCTCTGAAGAGCCTTTGGCCAAGTGAGCCAGTTTGAGTGTTCTCCGTGGCTGTTATTCACCCTCGGTAGAGCTCCTCTAGTGTACTTGGGCCCACCCCGTTACCTGCACAAGGGCCCGAGGGCCCAGGAGACTCAGGGGAGCTCTGCTCAGCTTTGCCTTGATGATCACCTCTGCCTCCCTTTGCCCCTTTCAGTAAACCTCAGTCAGGAGGCAGAACAAAGTCAGAAGGAGACAAAGTCAGAAGAGGATGATGAGGACACGGTACACAGAAAGCGTCACTGGGACGACTGGAAGGACACGCATCCACGGGGTTATGGCAACCGGCAGAACATGGGCTAATCTCCCCGTGAAGAAATAGGACCGGAGGGGCTTGAAGCTTCGCCTCCAGAGGAAAGTTGTATAGGTTCCCACTCCCCTGCCCTCCTCCCTCTCCCGTGTACAATGACATCAGAGATAGGTTATGTTACTGTACATTTAATAAAGTGTCAGAAGGCTTAAGGGTGCACTTGTAGCCTGGCTGATGAGCTGACAGAGCTGTTGCAGGTGTTACTCTTGAGCAGAGATTCCCAGTTTCCCAGACATTCCCAAGTAAGTGGAAAGGAAAACACAATAAGAAATGGCTCTATGTTATTGACAGTTGTATTGATTGTCGTTAAAAAAATAAAGTCCCAAGTTGTAACTTAAGCCTCCATGGAGCCAAGCCCTTTCCGAGGCTGGGCTAGATAGAAATCCATGGAAGAGCCACTGGGGCTTTACTCCAGCCCTAGGTGACAGCCCCCCTTCTGCCCTCCAAGTACTTTGGATGCCATGACATTTACAAAAGGACAGAAACAGGGGCCAGGATTTTCCCTGCCTCTCAGCATCACTTTCAGGAATCGGGGCCATAACTGAACTCTGGTGGACACCCAAGGCCAGCCATCACAGACTGTTCCTCAGGCACTACTTGAAGCAGTTTTCAAATAACAGCAGTGCCTTAGGTCCCATGTGAAGGCTATGCTATGTCAGGGACACAAGATCGTGGGACTCCCAGTGCCTCTGATTCCCACCTCTTTCCTTCATCTTAAGTCTTTGAAGTCAAAACTTCTTCCCTTGTAGCTCCTCTCCGAGCTCCATCTGATGATTCATAGATGACATCTTGCAGAGATCGTCTTCTTGGGGGCCACAGGCATCCAGTTTTGCAGAAGTGTTTACCATGTCTTAGAGAGAAGGAGAGGTTGGCTCAGGCCCTCATCTCTGGCATTTTAATGCTTGGGATGCACTTGTACTCCTCCAGGATCTGGCAGCTCATCAGTGTGGCGATTCCTTCCAATGTGTCTTCCCTCAGATCATCACAGAGGAGTCCAGACTGTAGTCGAAGGTCCTTCCTTGGGTTCTTTGAACATTGAGAGGCTACCGTTGAAGCTGCCTGCTAGTCGTCTCTTGCTCTCAGTACGTGACAAAGCTGTCTTTTCGAATCATAGATTTCTTGATGATGCCCCCCTCCATAATTCCTTGCTTGTAATGTGTTGGACCCTGCTCAGACTCACCAGGAGCCTCTCCATTGTCCCCTGGACGATACTCGGCGTGGCTTCTGTGGAGACTTACCACGTTCCACTTCTCGGCAGCACGTCCCCAGGAGAATGTTGGTAGCAAATAGGTAGGACTTACTTAGTTTTGAGGAGAAGCTGGGGTCATTTGAAGAACGCTGCCATTGCCTCTTCCTCCTATTCAATTATGAGCCTAAATTCATTGTCCATTTGCAGGATCCATCCTAGATATCTGCTGATGGATGAGTTCTATATACTGTCCATTCTGTTACATCTCATCTTCTGGACAGTAAGTAGTCTTCATCCATTTGGTTTTTTCTGGTATGGCGTGTTAGGCCTAACTCTTTTAAGGAGTTTATGGATTTCATTTAAGAGTCTCTACTCTGCAGTGTTCTGAGTCTTGAAGCAGTCAACGTAGTGCCATCCATGACATAGAAGCATCTAGAGGACATCACCATCTCTAGAGAACCCCTCTGCCATCTGGACCCTGCATTGAATCTTCTCCAGGACAGTAGCAGATAGATTTGGCAAGCACACATATCCTACTTTGATAGATTCCCGAGTAGTGGGTCTTGGAACAAACTTCTGTCCTATGGTTCAGGGGACAATGTATGCCATCGATATATGCAGAGGAGCCAAGTTGGAGAAGAGCTTTTAAGGTGGTGTTTGGTTCTGTCAAATCAGATGCTTGTTTTATTGAGGAAACAGTAAGCACAGTGGAATCTTATACTCTCTCAGTCAGTTGTTTGATAGTAAAGATACTACATGGAATTTCAGTTGTGAAAGCCTGCTTGCTGATTTCTAATAACTTTATTAAGTGTGCACTCAATGTGTGTGTAGATTACTCTTAGGAACTTTTATATAGATGGGGAACATAGTTACAGGTATTCTGTAGGTCCCCTTTTTCTTTCTTTTTCTCGTAATAAAGTCTGAGATACTTTTCTGTGCTTTCGTCATCTTCCCTTTCAGCTGCCTGGAGAATCGATCTCTTAGTGCCCTCCGAATGATGTTGCCTTCTCCTGATTTTCTTATCTTCATTTTCGTCAGTTGCCATTTCTACTTCTCTTGTGCTCTTCAAGTCCACATGTGATAGCTATGCTGCCTCGATGGCAGAAAAAAGTTTTTAATCAAGATTACTGCAGATGTTTTCTCTCTTCGATCTCTTTATCCTCCTCCTTTCCATTTCATCCTCCAGCCCCCTGAGGATAGATGCCTATTACTTGGGTCTCTCACCAACATTTCTTCAACCTTCCACTGCTTCCAGTTTTATGAGATAATGCTGTCCACAACCTCCCACCGTCTGCTTCCATAAGATTTTTACAAACTTGGTTATATTTGAAGTGAGTACTGTTCTCGTCTGCCGTGTTCCTCCACTGAGCAGATAGATCAAGTGTTTGTTGATTAAGGCAGTTTTCAGGATCTTTGAGACTCGTAATTAGGGCAATTGATTTACATTGGTTAAACAGTATGAAATTGTTACAGTAATTGTCAACATCCTGTCCTTCATTTATTTCTCATGTTTTTAGAATCAACTTGTTTAAGACGGATTGGAATTGTTTTTAATTGCATGCCATGTCTTTTCCTTATTTTTATTCTGCTGGTTTTGTATGAATTTTAACTTTTGCTCTAAGAAGTCGGTCGTCTTGACTGTATGCAGATAGTTGATTTAGGAATGACTCGCATCAATAATGAGTCATTCTTTCTCTGTTAAAATAGCAATTAAATGTGGTGCTTGACATGTTCAGCATATTATGATTCTAGATGGGCCAGTTGGTGATGAACTACTTGGCCATGGCAAACCATGAAATCATGAAAAGAAAAATCAAAAATGGTCTCATTCCTACACAGGGCCTAGTCCAGGCCAAACCTTTGTTGTTATTAAACTTTTGATGGGAGGGATGAGTACCATTGTTTAGTGATTGATAGCATGTATGGCTGTATTTGGGAAGAAGGGATTTATAACACAAATTCCAGGATTTTTAAGATACCCAGGCCCAGCTCTTGAGCTGATATCCAGAAGACTGAATGTACTGGAAAAAAAAAAAAATCTGTGTAGAAAATAAATGATGTCCTAAGCAGCTTTGGTTCACTGTTGCATTAATGTCCATAGGACAGGAAGTGTCGAACAGGCCCTTAGACCTGACCTAGTCTCATTGTGCAGAGGACACTGTCACCCAAAGAAGGTGAAAGACTTGGGATTGTAGAATGTCATAGCTGGAGCTATCTATTTTCAACCCCCTCATTTTACAGATGTCCAGTCTTTGGGAAACTGGGGCCCCAAGAGGTAAAGGGACTTTGTATCATAGAATCCCAGAGATGGTAATGCCATTTGGCAACCTGGTGCCAATCCTGATGTGCCTGAGGTCTTTGGGAGCAAAAAATATCCAAAGTAGAGCCAGACACTAAAGGATCATTGAACCAGAACAGCCTGACCTAGGCCTCCTCTCCCAATGGCTGTTAAGGGCTCCAAAGTGGAAGATGAGGGCAAGGTGTGTGGCAGTGGGGGTGAGCTGCTGATCCCATGAGTGGAACCATAGGTAGTAAAGCCAGCTGTGAAAAAGGAAGAATAAAAGTTGATGTCAGTAGTCATGGTGACTCTAGAATGACTGTCACCTTCCCTTGTGGTCTTTATAAAACTTGCTGGAAGCTCAGATAAGGGAAGAATTTGCTGCTCATTAAAGCCTAATTAGTACAATGTATCCACCAAGAAGCCAGACCACCACTTAGGTAGCATCAGGCTTCCAAAACTTCTGCCTCAACTGACTTACCCTGTGGTAAAAAGGTTATGGCGCTGTCCTCGTCTGTCCTTCCTGGCCCCCATCAGCTCACAGGAGGAGCTGACAATCCAGCAGTACCCACGAAAGAGTCAAAGCAGTAATAGAACACCCTGGCCTTCTGCAGCACCTGTGTCCATCAGGGTCCTAGAGGGAGCTGGTTGGGGCAGGGACATTCCTGGATAACTGGCATCGCTGATGTAGCTTTGTCTCTTCTCTCTCCTGAGGGCCCCCAAGGCAGTTCTCAAATTCCATGAAATGTCTTGGAGGTGCTGAATGAGAGCTCCCATTGCCCTAGCCATTGAGGGTTACAACCATTTGCTTGTTAGCACTCTGTGGGGTAGCTATTGCAAGCAATAGATCCGCTGTCAGTCAGTGGAGGGAGCAGAGGCCCAGGGTCACACACAGGGGATTCAAAGCTAGGTCCATGCAGATGACTGCAAAATTACAATTCCTTTCTCTGTCACATGCTGTGGTCCAGGAGTCAGGAGAGATCTGGCTTTGAATCTGAGCTGTGTGGCCCTGGGCAAGTCACTGAACCTCTCCGGGACTGTTTCCTCTTCCAAATAAGGTCCCTTCCAGCTCTAAATACATGGTCCAAGGCCCCCACCCCCACTCAGTAAAATCAGATTTGGACAGAAGGTCCCTACCCCCAAAGAGCTGAGATTACTCAGAGGATGGTATAGCAGTGTTGGAAAGGACATGGAAGGCCATCTCCTTTCTGAAAGCCAGCACTTAGAACCTCATAGGGAGGCAGTAGTTTGAGTCATGTCTGACTCTATGACCCCACTGGGGGTTTTCTTGGCAAAGATAATGGAGTGGTTTGCTATTTCCTCCTCCAGCTCGTTTTACAGATGAGGAAGCTGAGGCAAACAAGGTGAAATGACTTGCCCAGGGTCACACAGCCAGATTTGAACTCAGGAAGATGGGTCTTCCTGACTCCAGGCCTGCCACCTAGCTGCCACTAGTGAAACGGACCCTACACTTGGGGTCCCTAGATCTGGTTTCAAATCCCAGCTTTACTATTTGCTAGTTTCGTGTTGTCGAGCAAGTCATTTCAGCCCTGTGGGCCTCAGTTTTCTCTTTTGTCTATGATTCCAAATATCCTGTCTTTATGATCTAGGTAGCACATGGCTTAGTACTGTCTGTAAATGGATGTGGCCATGCCTGTACTAAGCCAGCCTTGATCCTCGCTTACTTGACTTGAATCCAAGCTTTACAAATGCAAAAAAGCTTAGGCCCTGTGTTGCAAGCCCTGCCAGTATTTCCTGTTTGGTAGGAAAACGAAACAAAAAACCGCCCAAAGCCTTTTCCAGAACCTCTTACGTGCTCTGGGTGGTCACCTGGCAGTTTTAAGCACAGTTCAACCTTTGCCCTGGAAGCCCTGCTCTATGCCCCAGGGATGTACCTTTGATATATTGGGGCCCATTTCACATTTGGCCCTGGTGACATGAACCATTTCTCCATCCTGAGTCACTAAGACATTTTGGCTGCGCTCCGGCTTGTTTTATGACGTTCACATCTCTCTAGTAGCTTGTGAGCCGAGCTCCTGGAGACCTTGTGACACTCATTTCTGTCTCTGAAGCACCTAGCACAAGAGCCTGAACCGAGTGGGCCCACGTTAAAGACTGGTTGAAGTGAGCCTCCAGGCTCCCCGAGGTGCTTTGGTTGAGTGACCTCACCAAGACCGTTGTGGTCCTAGTGTTTGACTGTGAGCATACCTCCTCTTACTTTTGGCTCAGTCCTTTTTATTAGGCTCTTGGGACTGGTTCAAAATGAGACTGTCAGTGACCTCCCATTCACCACACCCAAAGGCCTTTTGCCAACCCTCATCCTCCTAGCAGCCTTTAGCATGGCTGACCACATCCTCTTATTGGTTTCTTTCCCCTTATTTGCCTTGAAACCTCCCGATCTCCTGATTCCCTCCTCCTACCCCCCTCTCTGATGACTCCTTCCTTTAAGTGGTTCCACTTCCTGTTCCTGATCTTTTAATGAATGAGTGTTTCCCCATAAGCCCATCTGTAGAATTAAGGAAACAGTGCCTACTATGCACCAGGTACTTTACAAATTTTATCTCATTTAATCCTGGGAGGTAGAAACTAAAGTAGAGGTTAAGTGACTTGCCTAGGGTCACACGGCTAGTAAAAGTCTGAGACTGGATTTGAGAACTCGGGTCTTTCAGACTTCAGGCCACACACTGTATCTACCGCACCACCCAAGTTTCTCTTGGTCCTCGCCTTTTCTGTGTTTACCCGCTTCCCCCCCCCCCCCCCCGCCCCGGTAATCTCCTTCAATCTCATGGCTTCACCTGCCACCTCTATGTGATTCTTTAGAAATCTCCAACCTTTACTTCTCTTTTGAGCTCCAGACCCTCATAGCCAACTGCCTACAGAACATCTCCACTTGAAAACTGACCCAGCACCTCAAATTCAGCCTATCCCAAACCAAGCTCATTCCAGCTCCTTCAGGACCTACTCACCCTTCCTTCCTTCCTTTGCCATGTCTGGCCAGGTTTCACCCAGGCTTCTGTGTTCGTAACCTTGATATTCTCTTTGTCTTCGTCTCTCACATTTGCTAAGTCCTGTCAGTTCTCTTTCCCCAGTATCTCTTCTATTCATCTCCTCCTCTCCATTCCCACTGTCGCCTCCCTAGTTCATTGCCACACACTGGTTCAGTGGCAAGAGCTTCTTTACCTTCCTGTCCTCATTCCGCCACCTCCCTTCTTCCAATCTGTCCCTCCTGGATAATCTTCCTAGCTGGCCATGTCCCTCTGCTCCAAAATGTTCAGTGGCTTTCTGCTGTTTCCTGAGTGAAGTTCAAACTCTCCCCAGCATTCTAGGCCCTGCACAATCCACAAACAATTCCATCCAGTCAGATGACACCATGGAAAGACCCATCACATTCTCACACCTTCTCGCATTTGTTTGTGTAATGCCTTCCCTCCCTATCTGCTCTCGTCGAACCCCTACCCAGCATAGGCCCGAGTCAAATGATAGTTTCTCCAGGATGCCTTCCCTGACATCTCAGGTGAAAAGGATGTTGTCCCTCAGACCCCAAACAGCACAGTGTTTTGTGCCTTTCTAATGTACTTACCAGGACAGCTAGGTGGTAGGGTGGATAGAGTGCTAGGCCTGGAGTCAGGAAGACCCATCTTCCCGAGTTCGAATCCAGCCTCAGACACTTGCTAGCTGTGTGACCCTGGGCAAGTCACTTCACCCTCAGTTTGCCTTAGCTTCCTCATCTGTAAAATGATCTGGAGACGGAAATGGCAAACCCCTCCAGTATCTCTGCCCAGAAAACCCCAAATGGGGTCACGGAGAGTCGGATGGGATTGAAGTGACTGAACAGCTGTACTTAGCATGTAATATTATCATAGTCATGTGTTCACCATCTACTGGACTGTAAGCTCCTTAAGGACAAGAATTGTGCCCTAGCTAAACTTCGGAGTTCTGCCAATGCCTAACCCAGTGTGCTGCCCAGTCAGGAATGAATGTTTGTTGATTAGTTCTGCAAAATTAGGGGACTGGCTTCAGAGACCTTGCTGGATTGGCTCGTGCCTCTGATGGGACCACTCCTGAATATCATGGGGCAGCTCTGGTCTTAAGTGACCCTCGAAGGCCATGCATCTCTCCTCTCTGCCTTTTCATTTTATTGCTGGTGCTAAAAAGGTTGAGAAAAAAGTGACTGAAGGGGGCAGCTAGGTGGTGCAGTGGATAGAGCACTGGCCCTGAAGTCAGGAGGACCTGAGTTCAAATCCGGCCTCAGACCAAACACTTCATACTTACTAGCTGTGTGACCCTGGGCAAGTCACTTAACCCCAATTGCCTTTAAAAAAAAAAAAAAAGAATGTAAAAAAAAAACTGACTGAAGACAAGAGTCAGACCTCTGAAGACAAGGTCAGGAAGCAGCAGGACCCCATCCTCCACCTGGGAGCCCAAAGTCCAAGTCTTAGCATCTTAGCTGTGCCCCTGGGCTTCTCTGAGCTTCCACATCATCCTCAAAGGGACACAATCAGGCCTACTCTGCCAAGATTGCTGGGCTGTCGTAAAGCAAATGCTCTAGGAAGGTGAGGTGGCATGTAGTCCTCCTGCAGTGACTTATAGAGGTAATGAGTTTCTCTCAAGAACTATTCTGGGAGCAGCTAGGTGGCACAGTGAATAGAACACTGGCCCTGGAGTCAGGAGGACCTGAGTTCAAATCTGGCCTCAGACACCACTCACTAGCCGTGGGACTCTGGGCAAGTCACTTAACTCCAATTGCCTCACCAAAAAAACCCCAAAAACAAAACTTATGCTGAAGGAGCA